CCATAGTGCAATGAGGTCCATGTCGGAATAGCCGTCAGTTTGCTTTTCGAACCATGAAGCCTGGATGGCCTTATCCTCTGAATCACTGTCAGAATCTTTTGGTCTTGCTTGTGTATCAGATTTTTTTGGTCTTCCTCGTCCTCGTTTGGCAGGTACTGAAACTGAGGTGGTCTTGTTCATTACTGAGCTAGTCTTGTTCATAGAGTTATTTGACGATAGTCCTGAAGTTTGAAGAGACCCCAGATTGAGAGAAGACGAAATTGAGTTTGAGGTAAGGAGAGATGGCGGAGTCAAATTTGAGATGGCCAACAGACTCTGAATAGGGGTTAAAGCGCTGGAGATGGCAGTTGTTGCCAAAACTTGACCCAAACGAAACAAGTCGGTACCTGATAAAGACGCAGAGGGCGAAAGCAATACACCTGGACTTGCAACGGCCGAAATCGGTGTGAAACTTGATAGATTTGCGTTCGGCGATTGGACGGTATTTGGCGAGGTTAAAGTTGAATTCGACAGCAGGTTTGGGTGTATATGGGAATTATTTTGAGGCAATTGAGATTCCGTGACTTTGGTTCTCTGCTTTGCAGGCATGTTTGCTGAGGTGTTGAGTCAAAAGAGTTGCGCAAGAGAAACAAAAAGGGTGTTTTTTTTAATTACACGTACCCAGTTGACCCAGTGTAAAAATCAACTGGGTCAACCGGGTTTTTCAAAACCGGGTCAACTTTGAGAACGGCTATCCGCACCGCATCCTGAAGATGCACTGATGTCATCCTAGCCAGGATGACATGCAAGCACACAGTGCTTGGAAGACCTACAGATGCCCAATCAAGTGGGCACCCTTCCAGCACATTGCGGACAACCACTCGCGATCCAAGATCTGTCGTCCACATGGTGGTAGCAGACCCGGGTATCCAATGAGCCCCACAACGATGGACCGGCTAGATGCTGGAAGGCTATCGCTCTGACATCCGGTGGTTCTTTTTGCTTCCCACCACAACAACGATCAACCACTGGTATGTATTCCTTTCTCTCTCTCTCAACTCTCTTTTTTCTTGAATCTGACCTTAGAATTGAATGTTGCTCACTTTACTCGACTTTAGAATCAAATCTCATCCAGCCTCGATTTCCTTATTCTTGTAATTGAATATTCACGGTCTTGACTCTCGACTACTTTACTCACTTTAACTTTACAAAACATCTCATTGAACATGTCATTTGCTCAAATCATGGAATTCAAGTATTTTAGATAGTTGTCAGCTTATCATTGACATTACCTCATTATTTCATGTTCAAAATCGTGTTCTCTGTAGATCTTGAAAGATTCCTTTCTGACCACTCTTTGGAATACCAGTTTTTGCTATGTATGGAGGGAATAAAGGCTGGCAACAAGCTCAATCACCCACCTACAAGTCTTGAATGGGACAGCTTTTTTCAAGCATTTAACACCTAATTTGGTTTTTTGCTCTTCTCAATCCTCACAATATTTGATTAATGAGGCAAGAATGGTTTGACCAAAAGTTCGATTTGAAAGTTTAGCCTGATGACATCATCGAATGAATTGTCATGTGATCAATACCCGACGCTTTGACCAGGTTTGTAAACCAAAGCGTCTTCATCTCTTTACTTCGATTTTTGTCTTCTTTTGTCATCTCCTTTGATTTTCATTCCCTTCCTCTCTTTTTGCTTCAAATATCACTTCTTTGGATTTTAGGATCTCTAGGCCATACAGCCGCAGCTATTGTTCTCAAAAACACTTGCACCTGTTCTTCTCGTCGGTATGTTCTGCTCTTGGCTATTTGAGCCAACATCAAAACGGTTTTAGGTTCAATAACCTCAAGTTGGCGCTTGGAGTATCACATAAACATAAGTACCATGTATCATCCTATCTTTCTTTCTACACATCAACCGATCAAATTTGTAAAATGTCTCCTGACTCGAAAAACCTTTGATTTACAACTATTTACAAGCTGCTACAAAAGCTACACAGACAAGTTCAGATCCCATTGTTTCAACTCTAGTAATCGGTAGGCCTTATTTGATGTACATCTTCAATGATATGCTCATCTGGGTTAGACTCATCCTGTTCCCTACATATCTCTGGATTTCCATCATACTTATACTTTGTTTTTTCATTTGAAATAGGCCGATTAGATTGAATTATTATTTTGATGGAAACCTCATTGGCCAACATCAACAAAGAGCTGACAGGTAACAGATGGCAGGGATCGCAATAAACTTCGTTTTCTCAATTTTAAAATTGTATCAAGTCAGGAAACGGGTTTTAAATTTGAAATGTGGTAAGTATCATCATCAAAATGAAAATGAAGATGATGATCACAAGAATCATCATATTGAATCTTATCTCAAGAGGAATCTTTGTTCCACTTTCCTCTTGACTTCGGTCTCACCTCTTTACAAGCATGTTAAACTGATTAATCCTGTTTGATTGGATCTACTGGTTTCCGATGACAATCAATTCAAGACAGTTGCGATATCCTATTTCCTACTTCCGCGGTCGGCTGAAGTCTGTAGCAAATGTCAGGATCATTGTTAAATGTGGGTGTGATTGATTGATCATGGTTTCATGTTATCATCTTATTAGTGTTATTATTTTTTGGTTGTTTTTGGATACGCATTACAAGCAGTTTCATTATGATGATGCTTTCTGTGGAGTGTTATATCAGTAAAATGAATCTGAAAGAAGCATGTTTATGGCCTCAATTAGTCATATGAGGAAACAATCCATGGATACCTCTAGAACAGCCTGTGAGATTAGGTTGTGATACATGAAAACAATCCAAAGCTCTACCAGTGCTCGACAGCCTAGATGCCCAGGAGACAGCAGGAGAGAATCATCTGGGAAGCAGTGCTGTGTGTGCCCTCACGACAAACCTCGAGGGATGTCATATGGATGTCGGTTCGCGGGTTCTGGGGAGCCCGATGGGCTCTGCTCAGGCCTCTGAACGTCGGAATCCGACGGACGTTTCTCGGTTGTGCTGTGGGGGGACGTCCGTCCCCCACCAAGAGAAATTGGACATCCGTTGGACATCCAACTGTCCTTGTGGTGTATGTTGTGTATGCTTAAGTATGATGAGTTCCTGCTCTGCTGTCTAGGGCTCTTCAATCAACGAGAACAACAGATGCACATACTGTCTCCTGAGATTTGAGCTACAGTATGAGACCAATATGTTCCAGCTGAGCAAGCTCTCCGAGAGCTTTATTTAACATTCCCGCTTTTCAAAGTGCTTCAACCTGCATTAGGTGTATGCAATCAACTATTGAACTCAAAACTCCAATCTAAAACGTCGAACCCTTACCACCAACACGAAATCACGTGGCTGGCAGTCAAGGATGATAAATTCATGGGTGTTCACTACTCACAGTCGTGCCAGGTACCGTAAAACCAATACAATGTGTACACCAAGTTATAAATATGCCCACATGCGTTATACAAAAAGGAAGATATTCTATCAGCCGGCGAAGATCAATTTTGTCTTTCAAAAAGTCTTCTACAATCCCACATATGCCAAGCTAAGATAGTCACTATTGGTAGTAGGCTTGGATAGAATGCGACATAAGTATATATGATAAGCTTGCGTATGCCAATCATCGGTGATAAATACAATACAAGACATTCCAGAACCCGCCAGGAATCAGAATTGATGGACGAGTCAAAAACCTCCTGAAGAATCTTACTCCACCGAACAATCATAAATTCGGGTACAAAAAAATAATACGAGCGTTGTGGAACTTTGAGCTTGATAGGATCGTGATCTTACAAATCATTTCTGTGAGCTCGTCTTTGCTTTCTTTTCTTTTGCTGGTTTCTTCTTGTCTCCTGTCTTCTTATCATCCGCCTGGCAATGAAAATGAAGTTAATTCATTTGTCAAGTTTATGAACACCACAAGATGATACATGTGTCTTACTTTTCGCTTTTTAGATGTCTCCTCCGGTTTCTTTGGCGCTGCTTTGAAGAATCCATCCAGTCGACCTTGTTGTTTCTGAGTCATTGCCAGCTTCAGTTTGTTTGTACCTTTCCTGACTCTCTCCTCGCTATATGAAACAACTGGTTAGGTCACGAGGCGCACGATTATAAGAAAGATGGGTAATCATGATTCACGACTTACTCAAATCCTTTCTCCTTTACCAGAAATTCAACCAATCCATCCACATCGGGCATATTCCACTCCAATTTGATATCTTCAGATTTTATGACATCAGGCTTAACAAATAGTTCTTTGGCTTCTGCCCAAGGCCAATCCTCCGGTGGCGGGTTTTTGCCGGTCTGCTGTAGATGATCAACAACTGCTTCCAGTGAGCCATGTTCCTTGATCAGTTTTAACGCGGTCTTGGCTGCCACCCCTTTCAGTGGATCAACATAATCGCAGCCACATAATATACAGAAATCGATAAACTACCAAGATGTGTACATTCATCAACATCGCATTCAAACCAGCCGTACGTTATAGGAGACTCTACATACACGTTCCATCGTGAGATCCAATCCTGCCAGCACTTTGCTCAAATTAACAGTATTGATGGGCACTTTTCGAGCTTCCGAGAAGGTTAAGTGTCTCAAAAGCAGCGGTGTCCCAAAAGTCAGGGTGTCCATGTCTTCGGAACCAGCGCCGTACACCTGACACATGCAGATCAATCGTCAACCACTCCACTATCTTATAGAATTCTCACTTATTACAAACCAGTCCACCCTTGCAGAGTTCGGCACATTGAGCTTCGGCTTCGCTCGGAGCAATTACCCAAGGAATGCCCATCAAGGTCAACAACCGCCTACATTCCTCATTATGTTCACGTGTGACCTTGACTGTTCGTCGAGTGAGCTTATCCAGGTCTTCTGTTGTTCCCACCTCCTTAGCTTCTTCACCCTCTTCTGCCGCCTCGGTTCTTTTCTCAAATCGTTTAGCAAGTACGCCCGATTTCAACTGAGGTGGTTTTCCGTCAAACACGTAAGCTGGCTTGATTCCATTTTCGGCCATACGGATGGTTCGATAGAAAAACCCCATCAGGTGACTTGAGTCAGACACGATTTCAAGATTCAGTAAGAGCTCTTGAGAGAACATATTGAGTATGATAGAATGTATGTAAATTGAGGTCGATTGACTGACGAGGTTGTTTCCCCTGCTTCATTCATCAACTGTTGACCATCTTGTTGGCGAACGGCAATCAGGAACTAAAGTAACGGATATTCAAAAGAGATTCGAATTGGAGCCCAGTTCAGATTCGACGATTGAGGTAATAAACAGCTATTCAGACGAGACCCGAACCTGATAAATCGACATGCTGGCATCGATAGCCACCTTTCTTCCGAACTAAACCCAAAGGAAGAGCAGGTACCAATGTGGTCAGGGAATGAACTGCGAACCCAAAGGATTTAGACCCCGCGAATCACCAGCGTTTTGATTTCAGATTGAGTTATAGCATCAGGAGCCAAATCGTTAATCAAGGCGGTAAGGCCTTTGATACCTATCAAGCGAGCAATTTGTGTCTTGTCAGTGGACGAAACTTGAAGAAAGACGTGAGAGCTCCAAAAGCTCACACACCCATTTTTGTTGATAGGAGATATCCAAGCGATAAGAGACGCGTTAATGCAAGGAATTTGTGTGAAGAGCTGATGGGAATTTATCTTTCAAGCGCGTGCAGACTGTAGTCAACTTCAGGTGTCAAGTCGAAGCCTCGAGTTTGCCGCTGGCGGCCCCGCGGGGAAGTCAGCCGGATATTTGAATGTCCGGCGGGCCGTCTGGCTTGTTTGCAGCTCCGACTGCAGCTCGCTGGTGACCTTGAACGCCGCACCTGATCCTGTAGGCAATGCATCATGACTTGATATTTGAACTATGATGCCTTGTCTCTTGAAGGTTATGCGCCCTCTCAAGCTCTAAACACACCTTCAAAGATAGTTAGAAATTGTTGGAGAGAGTTAAAGTTCATGCAGAAGGTATATGTCCTTCCCCAACAGGACTCACTGACCATGATGAACTCAATTCATGTCAGGACAATGGGGTATTGTGAGCCTGGAAATATAAAGGCTCTGTGTTTACTTCAACGCTGTTCAAGCTTGAACCACATGTGCATCATAGCCCAGAAAACCAGATATTTTAAAGGTTTGTACTACAATGTGGAAGTATGGCGATTTGAAGACAAATACCAATCTGATGAGTGTTATATGTCTCAGAGGGTTCCATCGTTGACCAAGTCTCAAAACCATCTAGGATTTCAAGAAACATCCCGATAAACAGATGGAAGGTAAGCGTGAAGCACTGTGGCGCCCCGCGCATCACCGTCCCCCTAGAGAGCAGACCATTGCACACGTATGTGATCACCTGCTTTTGAGGGGGGTAGCGACAGAGCATTTTATCGTAACAAATTTCTACGGTTCAACAGGTGAGATGAGAAGTGTTTTGGATTAGACATAAGCGTACAGGGAATGAGAATACATTGTTTATTTTCCGAACCATTCAGTTGATTCCAGTTCGCTAGTACAAATTGTATGGAGATGCTTAAAAAAATCCAACGATACGAGCGGGACGACTATTAGGGCGGTTCACGAAGGGCTTTTGTATACCAAAATATCTTCATCACCGGTCGAGCTGCTCTTCCTTCATTTTTGAGATGATTCCTCGTCCGGATTGACCCAAATCTCCTTGGTGGCCTTCATCAACTCGAACAGTTGTCCAATTTGCTCTGACGAAAGCTAGCACAGACAAATACACCATCGAATGAGCCTAAGAGTTCCTTCAAGTTTTATCTCGTAAAAAAACAACTTACTTTCTCCAAGACTTCTTCTGAGAGTTGACGACCTACTTTGACTCCCTGATCTCCTCCATTACTTTGAATAGCTAAGGTGTCCAAATATATTTTCCACTGACCAAGAAAGCCTATGATTTGAATCGGATTGTCGATTGATCGGCAACGTCTGAATTCGTCTTTGACGTAAACGTCACCCAAAGATCGCATCTCGGGTGGAAGTGATGTTCGGTGAGCGCGAAGTAGGCGTCGATAGAGAAGTAAAGGCGGTAATATAGACACTGATGTATTGGAGACTGGACTGATGGTGACCGACGAGGCCAGACGAGAAATAGAGGGACGCATTTGCTGTTGAGGTCTGCGTGGTATTTCGATTATTCTCGATCGAGCAGGTTTGGTCTTGCAGTCATTATCCAAGGGTCAGAAGTTATCGAAGTATCACTCCAACACCGGACCTGTGGTATCTGACTCGTGCTGCGGGGCGGGCTTGTCCGAGCCCGACCGGCCCGCTGCAACTTGACCAGACTCAAGCCAACACCACCACAAGTCCACCAAGTACCACTCAACTTTCAAGTCAACACCACGAAGTATAACTTCAAATTTAGAACAGCCTGCTTTGTATATGCTTCCCATTCTTGAGGTCTCCCTTGAGCTTGAGGATGTGTCTCATTGGGTTATCAAAGCATTGATGTGGGCCAGACTGTTCAAATTGTGTGAGTTTGGCTGGTAACTTATGTCAGAATGTTGCACATTCTCACCACTATCATGTTTAAATTGATGATGACTAAAGTTTGTAGAAAGTCCTGATTTGTGTGTTTAAAGAAGGATTGAGGGTGTCCATGTTGAGAGGCCCAGTCAAGTCTTAGACAGAAACAGCACACTATCTGCCTGGAGCACCGGCGGCCTGGAGTTCATGGCTCTCTCTATTCATTACCATAAATTCTGTATTCCTTAAAATAAATGTGTGATAGAGATGCAAAAGTTTCCCTAACAGACTCTATGAAGACCCACACACCTAACTTGACAACAAGAAGTCCCTCTTTCAAGACTGACGGAGGAGGTCTCAGACTCCAGCACAGGGCTCCTGAATTCCCAATACAACTTGTTTTTGGAAGCATAAGTCTCAGCATCATCTTTGTCTGGTTGTTCATGTCTGTCTTCAACCTTGTGATATCATTCTCTTCAACTTTCCCCTCACTATTTGTATGGTCTGCCACCAGCTGCCGTCCAATAGAGCTTCAATGCTCATTGAGACTTTTTAGGAACTTGCCTCTCAGATTATTTGGTTTGACATCAAATTCAGGTTCCTTCAAATCACTGTGACTGATTTGTTGGTATTTCAATCTTCGGAAGTTTGTAGACTCTGATATGGCTAGAATGCGGGGTATAGGGCCAGCTGTTTGCCACTAGCATGTGCGGCAACCGACTTGACCAGTGGCCCATGGAAATGCCAATGACCAGTTCATTGCACAAGTCGTGTGGACCGTGGCTCAGAAGTCAGAACTACCACTCAGAGGATCCCAGACGTTTTACAACTGCCTAGACAGGGAGGCTGAATATGTATGTACTCAACAGTTTTGGAGGTGACTGGTGGCTGAAAGAGTGAAGCTAATGCTCTGTGATTTGAAGCTCCAGTCATTGACTGACATTGGATCCGCTGACATCAGGCCCCAGGGGGGAAAATCGACGTTTGCTGCAGGTCAGGCTTGAATGTGCTTGTGACAGCAGAGGTGTGAACTTATAAGCAGCGAATAGCGAAGGAAGCGAGAGGCAAGGGCTTTTGGTGATGCTAAGTAGCACGCAAGAGGTAGGGCATCATGAGCATGTTGTACAGCATCGACTTGGGGCCATGAATGCCAAAGGTTGGTTTGATGATTGAAGCAAATACTACCCGAACATGGGACGCAGAGAGAAGGGCATAAATCATGTGAAGTAAGAAGGCGCATATGACTTGGGCGATATTTTTTGAAATCATTAGATCCACGCTATAATCAACTGCAGTGAGGCAAGCCATAGCAAGACCGTACAAGTTGCTAGTATGATTCTCAATGTACACTCTAACCACGCTTCTTCGACACTATTCGAAGACAACAAAATCAACGCATGCGCAACTTGATGAGATGAAACAGACGTACCACCAACAGTCTTTCCCCGACGACCGGTTGTCTTGGTGTGTTGACCTCTGACTCGTAAGCCCCAGTAATGTCGGAGACCCCTGTGAGCACGGATCTTTTTGAGCCTCTCCAAATCTTCTCGCATCTTGCTGTCGAGACCGTTAGAGAGAACCTGGAAAGATTTGCCGTCAACGATGTCGCGCTGTCGATTGAGGAACCAATTAGGAATCTTGAATTGAGCGGGGTTTTGAATGATGGTGACGATTCGTTCAAGTTCATCGGGGTTAAGTTCACCAGCCCTATATAAAGTGTTGAGCGTAAGTGGTAGAGACAACCTTGAGTTGGAGGGGTATGGTCCTACCGTTTGTTGAGATCTACATCAGCCTTCTTGCAGGCAACGTTTGCCAGCCGACGCCCGACACCTCGAATCTGGGTCAAAGCGAACATGATCTTGATCTGGGAGGAAGCACCGTCAGGACGATCAAGGCGATCGAGGTCTCATGAAAGTCGACTCACTCGACCATCAACATTGGTGTTGAGGAGACGAAGAATGTGTTGAAACTGTTGGTGGGCCTCGGGAACAACTAGAGACTGCGATTTAATGACATGGCGATGAGGGTCAATTTAAGAATTCCTTGGGTTTTCATGGATTTGGTCACAGCAAAGGGGGCAGAAGCGAGTATGGATGCGCTCTAAATGGAGCTGCTGGCGTAAGATGGGTACTGAGAGTTTTCGGCGGAGTTGATCGGTGTACCATCGGAGCGTATCGATCAGGTTGGTGAATGCATTGGCGAAATTGTCCGAACGGCAACGAGGGGCGGCAGGGAGGCTCGGTGATGGAAGATGAAGAAGGCAGTTCCGAAAGACTTACCATCTTGTTTTGTCTGATAAGGTGTTGCCTTCGATAGTTTTGAGATGTTGTCGTCTTGAGGTTAGTTTCAGCCAACGTTCACAGGGGGGGTAAAATCGAGCGGTAGATTGATTGGTGCAAGGTGACATCAGCCCTAGGTAGGTCTTGAATCTGTGTGTAATCTCGATAAGTGTTGTCATCGATTTAAACCTAACTTCCTACAACCTTCCGATTAGCTCATCGCCAGTTTGATACCGTAATTCGTACCGTGACTGTTGGTTCCACCCCGTGAGTAACAGTGTCCTTTTAAGCCTTTCTCTGTTACATTCTTTCCTATTCAATTTCACATCTACGATCTCACTCAGATTCCTTGTTCCTATCGCCCTTGGAAACAGCTCAAGACTCGATTCTCGATGGCCGCCGCATCTAACCTTCGCTCTCAAAAGCGGCTCGCCGCATCGGTCCTTGGAGTTGGAAAGAACAAGGTCTTGCCGTCTCTTCATGCGTTCTTTCTCCGGTCATTCTGCAACTTCTCACTCGCCTTCGACCTGAAAGATCTGACACGTTTCTTCCAATACCAACTACCGGATTCATCCAACATAATTTCATGATTCTAGATCCACTTCGACCCTACTCAACTTGCCGAGATCGCCACTGCCAACTCTCGTCAAACCATTCGAAAACTCCACAAAGATGGATTGATTGTTAAACGTCAAAATGTCCTTCACTCCCGATCTCGAACCCGTGAAATGCACGCTGCTAAAGCCAAGGGTCGTCACACCGGTCCCGGTAAAAGAAAAGGTACCTCTGATGCCCGTATGCCTACCAAGATTCTCTGGATGCGTCGGCAACGAGTTCTCCGACGACTGTTACGGAAGTATCGTGAGGCAGGCAAAATCGACAAGCATTTGTTAGTCTCACTCGGCGTTGTATTGCATGCTTGTTCTGACCACTCAAGTTATCAATCCCCGCAGGTACCACGCTCTTTACATGAAGGCAAAAGGTAACGTGTTCAAAAACAAGCGTGTTCTTATGGACTATATCCACAAGGTACGTGCTTTACACCAGTTACCGTCTTCGGCACCTCCCCCACAACTGACTTACGGCTATCACTTGCATTACACAGGCCAAGGCTGAAAAGACCCGTGAGAAACATTTGGCTGAGCAGATGGAAGTTCGCCGAAGCAAAAACAAGGCTGCTCGTGCACGCCGAACTGCAAGGGTTGAAGAAAAACGGGCTGCTATCATTGCTGTTGAGCATCAGGCTGAGGAGAAGCAGTAGACCTTATGCTATGACTGTGTTAATCGAATCATCTTTACGCTTTAAAACTCATGCCCAACCTTGCTCACGGGGTTCCTGTTTCCACCCTGCACCGAGATATATTATGTTTTCCTTCAACCCGTTACGGGTTGTAACATTCTTCGTCATTAGCCTCGTTCATTTGCCCAGTCGCCTTTGATGCTTTGTCGCTCCGCATTCCCCTCCAAAGCATCCGTGTACGGAACCATTTACCGCTGAGCTCCAGTTGATGACTAACTGGTACACATTTAGATTGTCAATGCAAATTGAGTTTGCCTTGTCATCCCAGACCTGACAAAAGCTCTGTTCTCCTAAATACATTTGAATAACAACCCCGATGATTTCTTGCATCTCAGACTCTTATGAAAATGGCATAAGAAGTCAAGGCAGGCCAAAGCCTGCATGTTTTCCATATTCAAAGTAAGGCTTGAGCTGGGTCTATGTCAAACAACCTGAAAGTGCACCTAATCATGGATTCCAGGTCATAAAGGAAGGAGTAAAGGGCCTAAGAGAGAATCCCAAAAGTTTTGAACTTGTGGCCTATTGCAATCCCCGGAGATACTCGCTGAGGCTCTCTACAACTCGGGCCCTTCATCCAAGGACATCTTGCATGATGAATAGTGATGAATTCATGTTGCCAATACCAGTGTGACAGTCTGAACAATTGATGACACTGTATCTGTAATGCCTGAATGCCTGACACAAGACACAAGAGATGATCTACCTTATAGGATCACCATCTATATGACTAAATGGTACAGTGAGTTGGTTCTTGTTCATAAAGACACATCCCCAACTTTGTCATGTTGTTTGCATCAAACTGAGAAATGAGTCAGTCTGGGGGTAGGCTGCAGGCTTGCTTTGTTTGTGTAGGATGAAACATTTTTTTGGCCTGAGAAAAGCCAGCTGACTTGGGTGGGATGGCGGGTATTTTTGGAGTTTCACTGGCTGAAAGGCAAGCAATTTTACAAATGTACTGATTTTGTCACAATCAAACTGATGTGACAGATCTGGGCAGCAAAAGGCAGATTATTTGCCCTGTGAGATCCTGGTATGATCAATTTTAGAAGTCTGCTACAATTGTGACTTAGCTGTGGAATTACATGCCAAGCCTCAGCTGACATCAACAATCCAAGGCCCATGTGGTATTGCTACGTGTAAAGCTCTAAAAGGCTCACAATTGCATGAGTAGTTTGATTTGAAAAGAATGTCAAAAATTGAGAACTTGTGCAGGATTGATTGATTGATGTAGAATTGAGGTCAATCAGGTGATTCCTTTCTTTTGTGCCTTGCACCACCCATTGCATTTTAGATTTTCATTTCTGGTCAACTTCCCTGAGGGGCCTGAAAAGCTTCATGTCTGCATTGCGTGATTGGTATTATAATTGAACCCACTGGCAGAGCTACCAGATTACCAAACTTTTCAGTTGAAGAGTCAACACCAGGAGAAATTGTGTTTTCCAAAAGCAGAATGAATCTTACAGCACTAAATTCACATGCTTGTTTTGCAAAACCCCAAAGGTTAAAAAAATCACACAGCTAAATTGTGTAGATTTCACCTTCCAATGAACTCAAACTCTGGATGAGTCATGGCCTTTTGGTATGGGGATGGCAGAAATAAATTTTAGTTGAGACCTTGAGCCTGGTTCCCACCACCAAAATTTTTTAGCCAGCCAAGTGGTGTATTGTCTAGTTCCTGATGGCAAAGGGCAAATGTTGACTAGTGCATGGAGGCAAGTCCTTGCCAATTCAAAGTCAAGCAAATACTCAATAAACTGCACATTTGGCCCCACCAGATCAAATTCTAGATCCCTTTGATCAGAGTGCAAGTTCAACTCAACCGCAAATTATTGAGCCCCCTCCAATAGTTCTTGGTCTACATATTGTGCTCCTACTCAGCATAACCCAGACAAACTGCATCTGATTACAAGGCAGGTGGATGTCAATTTAAATTGATTATTTAAAAATACCCAAACTCATCTATGTGTTCAAGAAACTGCAGTCAGCTCTTGATGTAAGCATAGTGATGATGAATAGACTTTCTACCCATATATTGTGTGATGAATAATCAGAAAAGTGTTGTTTGCATAGGCTTGCACATATTTGTCAAAACTAAGCCCACAGAAGCCTATGCAGATAACAACATCATGCATACAGTGACTTTGCTTACACCAAGACTTGACTGTATACAGGTAATTTTCTGCACAAGAGGATTCCAGAACTTCAATCAATTTTTGAGAGTTTTGATCTTGGTAATGTAGAATACAAAGTAGAGTACCAATTGTTTTCTCAGATGCCCAGATGCCCAAGTCGGCCTTTTTGGCTGTGGTTTGAATTCTCATGGGGATCACATTTTTTTGGCTGTAGATGAGAAACTGGGAAGCTGGGAAACAAGACCCAGGTTTCCAAGTTGGTGTCCCCTAGATTGTTCCTTTTGTAGAGATGGTTCTGAAAAGCTAAGCAAGGGCCATACTAGATAAGAGTGTTCCAGAACTTATATTGACCACTTGGTTTGTCATGTTTTGCGGTCTGGGGAGGTCTGGGGCCCATTTGAGCCTTGATGGCAAATTGCCAGGGATTTTATTTATCCACAAACAATAGGCTACAATGGGGGGAGGCAGAGTCCAGTTGTGGCTCTCCTTGTCTGATTACCACAACTTCAAGGTGCTGATACTATGTATGTATATGGATTGCAGTACGGGGATGGGTCTGAGTACAACAACTAACTGCCACTTGTGACATGTGTGTCTGGGTGTCACAAGTCCAGGTACCATTACAGTAAACCATAGAAAAGAACCTGCGGGTCTCTGTCAATGTTCTACTGGTTGAGTTGCCACACATCCTCAGACGCTTAGGGCGCGTTCACTTAAGGAATTTCTGACCAGAAATCACATTCTGGAAAATTTTTAATGCAAAAATGAAACATACACCACCAAATAGACACTTTGAATTTTGCAGAATGTGATTTCTCACCAGAAATTGCTTAAGTGAACGCGCCCTTATCATATGAAACCCAAAATTTCAAGTTGCTATGGCCTTTTGTGACATGTGTCCAGAGATACTCAAGGGCAATTTGTGTCCAACTCTTATTACAACGTGCATATAACATTTTTGTTCATTTTTGGCTCTGCTTTCTCTGCTGATCCCCATTACGGCTGCCATTCTGACGGAGCCAGGCTAACAGCTGTGAAGGTAATTCTCTAGTCCAGCTACCATATCAGCAGCTTGAGGGGTAGGGAATGTCCAAGTCCACCAGAGCCGGGCCTCTTCCTGAACTTCATAGCATGCAGTCACCACCTTTAACTTGAGATAAGAATAGATCCAAACAGCAGCACCATAATTTGATTTGGCTGAAATCCTCAAGGACACAGCCATAGAAAACATGCAATATGATTATTTGGGTCAAGCAGAAATGGTAAAGGAAAGTATCTAGTTAATTATCTATATGTTATGTGATAAATAAGCATCACATGATACAATGATTGACAAAAAGTATGGTATCAAGAAAAATTTGATTATCATTGGAAGCTTTGAAGTATGATAAATTAAGTATGACAAGTCATCCAGCATGGCCTACACATTCACATTCACACACAACATACAAAAAAAACCAACATATTGCAAAGGTATATCAAGACAGATTACCCACTAGATGATATAGTGACAGTCAAGTTTATATATATCCATATATAACATCAGACTCGGATGACATCTTGAGTAATGACAGTTGAGCGGGTAATGTGAATATTCTCAACATCAGGGGATGATATCAGACTTTCCCTACAGGTAGCAGATTTGGCTAGAGTATTGATTGGGCGCAGGCCGGGGAAACTTCCTTCGCCGGTATCTCTTTCTTCTTTCCAACACACAGTGGTATCCCAACCCAAAAGCTGAGAAGACAATTTTGGGATGCCTTCGGTAACCGGGTTCAGCGGGACCCGACAAAACTCGGATTCATCTGTGGAACGTTCGGTGAAGATACGCCACTATTGAAATATTACAGACCAACCCCAAAGATAATAGAGAGGAATAAAGATGAGTCAATCTGAAGTTCTCGACCTCTAATTTTGATTGATAAAATGCGATGAAAATAGGACATTACCGATTGCAAAAGAAGTGCCGGCGCCATGAAAATCCCGGGAAACTGACAGAGGACAGTGCCTGCGATTCTCCAAGGCATTCTGTGCAATGATCCCCATCAGATAATTTATTTGTGGACGTAAGAATATAAAGACAGTTCATGCGTACATATCCATACGTCGACTGACAAAAACCATAAGACTGGCCTCACACACTTGAGCACAGATACTTAGGACAATCACGAATGAAGATCTAAACAAAAACTCTAGTAAATTTCAGGAGAAAGTTAGCTCAATCAAATGGGGTGTTCGAGGGTATTCATGAAATCTACAGACTTACGAAATTCTTTCTGCAATTCGCGCAATATTGTGGAAGACCATTTTGCATTGACAGTCATTGCATCGGCTTCACGCATACGCAAAACTTGTTTGAGCATATGCAGCAAGACGCAGACTACAAAAATGTAGAACTGTGAGCTCGCACACCTTTGTCAGCAGTTATCCTCATCTGATTGTAAGTAGCAATTCGGTAACGGTTCACATCTACAGGTTTATTTTATTGGTAGAAAAGTGACGGAGACTTACGAAAGCTAAGGCAGCTCCCAACACAATCCAAGTAATCGCGAAACCGGTGATTACCGAGTCTACATCGTACCAAGCTTCAAGTAAGGAGTTTATACGAGACACCAACTCGCTATGAGCTAGAATTCCAAAATCGTGATGAGCATCCCAAGAAAGGGATGCCTGTTCTAGTAAGGGTAGGACCTGGTGTAGATGTCTCTCTACCTCCGTTAACTGGCGAATTGAGTGGACTGTCCAATATGATGGTACAGCAATCGCAACGAGCGACCACGATATCCAAATAGAGTTGTAGACCATTGGTGTAAGAATCCGAGAATATTTCTTGTTCTTCGTGCCCTCTACGTCACAAAGACTATATGAAATGCATCAGCGATACGTTGAGAGATTGTAAGACTCAACTTTCGGATTAATATTATTAATTAAAGACCAAGTCTCACCAGGCGTAGCAAAGCGCCCATGAAGCCATAACCATACCTACATAAGAACTGATTTTCTGGATGAATCAGAAAGTTTTATCATCTCTGTATCTAGTCGGATAGGTATGCTTACGGAAGCCATCTACAAAACATGCGATAGGTGGAACATGTCGTTTGTTGTTGAGGTAGAATTGTAGGTAATACTTGTTCATGAGCACTCTATGAAACCTTGACTTGGGAACCCCGAGAAAGAAGAGACATACGCGATGATAAACCTGCAGAATATCAAGAACCATTGGGATCGTTATGAATTTGTCGGAAATTTGGAACATCAAGAGGATGACAGACAGGGTCATGTTTGTGTATAGTCACGAACAACATACCACATCATTATCAACTGTTTTGGACCTCGCTGTTTTCCGACGCCCGAGTAGTACTGTGTAGGCGGTAAGTACTTTTCGTGATGAGCCACGAATCCTTGCAACGTATTTGTACTTACTTTGGGGTGATCAACCTCTGGACCTTACTCACCATATAGTTGAAGCAACCCGATAGCATGTACAGCACACTGGTCAAAAGTTCGCACACAACAATCGACGTACACCGATTTGGAACTAGATAAGGCATACCATTTCCTGGTGATGGAAACGTAACCGTTGCAAGTAGAGACACAATCAGTCGACGTCATCTGAGATCTCAAAACTTGGAGTCACGATGGATAATTGATCAACACTCACCAGATTCTGGATATACTTTACGGAGCAAGTAAAAATACCTGTTCCGACTATTAGACCCCTTGAAAACAGGTATAAACATGATGCCTGCACAGCCAAGTATGAACACGACTCTCATGATGATAAAACAAGTCAAGAGCAACAAGGCCCACTCGGGGAATATTGGAGTATCTGTGCAGTTCTTGAAGTTGAGATGCCACGCAGAAGTCCAGTTTGTTATTTACGGAAATAGCCCACTTCCGGTTGTGTATTGCGCGAGGAAAATCTCTACTTACTGCATAAATGAATCCTGCTCTAAAAGGATTTTGTTTCCACTCAGGGCTATTGAGCAGGGTCAGCGGAAGATATGAGAGTAACGACATTTGCTGATGATAAAAAAGATGGGCAAAGGGGAGAAGTAAAAATTGTGAGCGAAATCCGAAAATGAGGAAAACTTAAATTCAGCGAAGTCATCTTTGTACCCTTCCGCGATGATTTGATCTGATAAAACACCACGAGAAACATGAGCTGATTAGATATTTCATTACGCCCTCAGATCATGGGAGTTCCTTCCGTGTAGTTGCGGCTCTCATACCCCGGGGTTGGTGTCTTGATTAACCTGGCGCAACATGAGAGAGAGGAAGTAGAGCAAATTCAAGTCAGATTCGGTTATACTTTGTCCTAGCTCATTCAAGGCTACTGCGATTGAATTTTTGGGACTGGGCGGTGAGAATAGGCATATTCATCAAACTTGTCTAAGTCCTTCCTCGCCAAAGGCCCGAGGCTGCTTTGGCGAGGAAGGACTTGTAGTTAAGTTTGCATATTCATGCGATCTCAATTGTGTTACGACGTTACAATAGTTATCAGGTTAAATACAAATCGCCGATGCTCCCCGGATTGGCATGCCATTCAATGTAGGTATCGAGCCAGATCGAGCCTTACCGAGTTCCACTCCATCGAGGTCGGGTTTTGGCAAGTTGATGATCACTTCTTGCAAAGAAACAGTGTGCAGTTGTACTTCCGTATTTTAACCAGTTGATATTATCTTCAAGCCCCTCAATCAATGGTGATACCACCTTAATGATTCTCTCTGCCTCAATCCACATATATCCTATTCCACTTTAGCAGATACAGCTTGAATTCTCAAACATCATCACCTCAATACTAGAGAGTGGATTCAAAGCTTGATACTACAAAAGTTATATCAATAAGAAGAATTTAATTTACAAGACTATGTACCTCTAGAAAGTTCCCATTTAGCAACTCTAGACACAACTTCATAAATCAACATATAAACAAGTAACGACTATTTTTATTTTTTATTTTACTTTTTAAGAATACGTATGATGACAGATTGGTAATGATAAGATTTTTAAATGAGCTGATAGATAGTTCAACCTATACATCCCATTTGAATTGTGTAAAGGTAAAATCTGGTTTTAAAGATGAACTTCAAAGTTTTTCTTTCACTTGCTGACGAACTTCGGCTCGGACTACCCCTTCTTGTGTCTAGAGATCAGATATAAGTGTCAATCATTGGCAAGAAAAGAAAAGTGGATTTAATGAACTTACACAAACAACAAGTAATTTTCCTTCCCGGGTATAAATTCGACCTATCACTAAACCTCTACCAAAGCTAGCCGCAGCTACGTCCATATGATATAACATCCACTGACTTACATCTATCTCACTATTACCAACGGGTTAGACTCACCCAAATCATGTAGATAACAAAAATGTGAAGCACGTACTGATCGTAGAAAAACATTGAATGATCTAATGAGGCCATCATAGCTACCCTCTTCGATCCTTGTGCATGAAGTCCCAGAGCTTTGCTTACACTACCGATAAATCGAAAACTGTAGTGATACTGGCATCAGTTTATGAGCCTGCGAGGATCTGATGAGAGTATTAGGTGTCCCCCAGAGTGCGACTAAAAAAACTCTTAGGGGAACAAGATCAAAGGTAATTGAAAGACCAACTCAGAAGCATAAGCCAATATCAATTTTTGATAAGCCGGATCAGGTCTAATTGGAACTCGTGATCTAATCCAATAAGCATGTCTAATGAGAAAGAAAGTTAAGATGTATCAGTAAAGAGATCTTAAAACTCAATCAAAGATACGATTTTGAATCTGATCTTGATTGACTCACGTAGATTCATTGTTTCCAGAAATACTAGAAGTTTCAAGTTTCACACTTCTAAATTCGATTGCATTCAACATATTCTCTTCAATTTCTCTAGAAAGGTATTCTTGAATTTTAGGTTTCATTCCTTCTTGATTTTCTTTTAAAAACCATCTTAACTTTTCTTCAATTGACATACAATCTTCAGGTTTTGGAAATAAATTAATATTAAATAAAGATTGAAAACTTGGTTGTTCTGGTTCTGGTTTATGAAATGATGCTAAGAGTGTAAAGATACAATGTGATTGTTGAACAGCTCGAACAGCTCGTGTTGCATATGATTTTCCGTTCCTCAATCGATCGACGTGGTAGATGATACCACTGGGTATATCAACATTTCCAAACCCAATAAAGTAGCACTGCTTGAAGTTTGAGAGCAAATTCACTTCGAATCAGTAAGATCACACTATATAGGAGATCCCAACTCTTCACTTGAAATTACTTGCATGAAGGGAATGAAGATGAAACTCGGGTGCAACAGTTTGAGTGGCGGCATGTGCGGCCTGTGCAATGATGTTTCCCCCAAATGCTCCACGACCTGCCGCTGGTTTCCATAGCTGTTATTTAAAGCCAGTAAATGGAACATATGAACATGGCATGCCCGTAAAATCATGCGATGAAGAGAAGGTTGACCATTTTAGATCTGAATAAGTCATCATCCATTCGATCGAGTTCCAAAGAATCCTCAATCCGACGACGTTCAAGTTGAGACATGTTAGTTTTGAAGATCAGTTTAATGGCTATGAAAGAGTGAAGAACGATTGATAATCCGAATAAGCTGAATGAAGGGTTGAAGCAGGTTGAAGTACAGTGTGAGTGGTGGACTGAAGTGAAATATCAGAGTGGTAAACTATGTGGATTGAGTTTTGGTTCATGGCCTTACATAGGTTTTGCGTCATCGCCCGCCCCCTTACAAATAGCTCAACGGACTGCTCAAGAGGCATGCTGAAGCTATATTATCAGGGTATAGATGAGGAGATCTGCTGCGTTCCATAGACTTGAGCTTTCAAATCTCGTGTATCAGTAAAAAGACAATCATATCAACTCAAATCATAATCATTCAATTTCTTTTTCCATAACTCTTCAAATCTACCCCCTTTATCAACACCACCCTAACCTTTATCACATCCAAAAACAAATAAGTTAATTTAAGAAAACAAACCAAAAGTTTCTATGAATTTGAGGTTTCAAAAATCAATTCAAGCATTTAATAAAAAAAATCCCTTGTTTTTGACTGATCACTAAAGAGATGATGAAAATCTAGGAAAGAGAAACAAAAACTTTCAAAGTACAAAATTTCAAAATTAGTAAGATCAAATCACATTTTTTCTTTTTTTGGAAAACCCCCAAATTGCACATTCATCATAAAAACAAAACAATCACAATCACACACACACAATCACACAATCACATTGTTGACACACATGATAATGATGATCAAAAGAAAACATAAACTATGAATCGGACACTCGTGAATAAAAAAACAATCATGTCCGCGTGGGGGTTACGTTAAAGTAAAACACAGATTCGAAAACCCATTCTTTACTTGCCAGCTCCGTTGGTTGTGTTTCTTTAGAAGCCCATCATCCCTGGCATGCCGGTGAACTGAGGTCCCATCATACCTGGACCGCCAGCTTGACTTCCGTATCCAGTATGTTGAGCTGCCATCATCCCATTTGAAGGTCCTGCCGTCAACATCAATCGACCTCCGAATCCAGGTCCAATGATGGGTTTTGATTCTACAAGTAAAGATGCATATAGGTCAGAAAAAGAAAGAAACCTGGATAATGGTGGCTGGAAATATTACGTACCATCATCTTCTGATGCTTTTGCTGACTTGACTGATAACTCCTTCACTTGACGTTCAAGTTGTTCAATCCGGTTACTCTGATCCCTCGATTTTTGTAATCGATAAGGCATCACATAATCGTTCAAAGCACTATAATCAACAATAAGTTACATGATCAGCAAACCACCCTCATTTTTCAATCGAAATCAAAGACTTACTGTCTCCATTGAAGATCTTCAACTACATCAGCTCGAATAAAATCATAACAAATAAAAAGACAAGCAGCAAAACATTCCTTATTACCAATCTTCACAAAATATTCAACTAATTCTTCTACAATCTCTGATGAAGCAGATGTCGCAGCAGTGATCATCGCATCTTTAAATAATTTATCTTCTTTACTAAGTGCAATCGATTCTTCAAACTTCCTATTCTTGGCATACAACAGTGCAGCCAATCTTCGGAATTCTAATAATTCATGCGCCTCTAATCTTCTAGCTAGACTGACTTGATCAAAGTTCTCATGATTCGATAGTGAGTCACGAAGTGTGGCGTAATCCTCTTCTTCTATTAACAATTCGTGATACGCTTCGTTGATGGCAGGTAGATCTAGATGTTGAACAGCAATGAGGTATGGCTTGATTAACGGTAGATTGTCAGTCTTTTGAAACATCTTGACTACTCGAGTGTGATCGATTCGGGGTACCAGCACCGTCAATAAATCAGTCAACAAAGTAGGCTGTTCTTGCAAGTAAAACGACAACGACTTGTAATACAGCTCCACGTTCGCAACTACAGATAAAGGGCAGAAGATAGTGAAGTCAGCTTTCGAATCCGCTTGCCAGAGTGAATGGACTTCCAAACCTTTTACAATGACTTCTTTAAATTGGCTATGGTCCCATGCATCTGCCGATCTCTCCATCATGGCAAGTACCGCATTATCAAACTCGTCGTAATGAACATAAAGGAAGACCAACTCCGACCAAAGATGAGCCTGTTCAGTGGCTCGAATAACCTTGGGGATATTGATTCTTGACCAAAAGAGTTTGAGATGCTCCATAAGTCGGGCCGGCTTGTACTTGGCATAAAGAATTGAAAGCTCGGTGAACATGCCCATATGAGCACGTTCCAGACCCTGTAGATAGATAAAAAGTACATGACACGTCAGTGCTAAAGCGATGAGTCGATCGAGTCAACAGATGTCACCGCTTACCAAACCAGCTTCAAGAAGCAGGATCAATTCTTCAAAATACCCTCTCTGCTCGTACAGTTTGACGAGTGCGTGTAATTCCTCGGCATGAATGATAAGATTCAAACCACAAACTTGAGCGAGTCGGAATTCGTTCTTGTCAATGCAAGCAGAGTTGACCTGTTTCCATACTTGAGTATTGCCCGCTTTTCTAGCACAATCTACAGCTGCTTGTGTCTCGCCCAAGTAAATCAAAGTCGTTGCCAATCTAGCCCAATTGGAGATAGCTGAAAACAATAGACGAGCAGCATCATACAAGCCAGCTTCAAAGACCTGTTCACCGGCAGTGAGTTGATCAGCTACATTTGTCATTGCAAGGAACTCCTCCATATCGTGAAGACGATCCGTTTTGGCGTAAGCTACGCAAAGTTCTGTATCGATCTTGGGCTCTCGGAGTGTCTTTCTGGCCATTTGAAGGTATCGGACGACGTCATCGTGTTTTCCGGCTCGGTTGGCGGTTTCGATCACCTCCATGTAATTGGTTGGGTCGTCAGCTTTGATGTAAGAATCGATGGCGTCCTTGATACGCAAACCGTCAAGTTGAGCTTTACCCAATCGACTCCATACGGCAGGTTCGTTGACTTTAGTGGCGTATTGTGATGCTCGGTCGATGCTGACGATATACTCGACCAAAACGTTGATTGCATCAAGATGCGCTTCGTGTTTGCGGTAGACAGTAAAAGCTTCTTCATGTAAACCAGCTTCAATAGCAATTCCAGCGATCTCTTGCACATCATAACCATCCAATTTATCTATGTAAGTCATAACCTTTCCTTTCTCAGATCGGATTGCCGTTAAAATCAAAAGTTTCTTCAGATTGGCATTATCACTGAACGCCGTGGGTTCGAGTACAATCTTTTCCAAAAGTTCTATCAATTCAATAGGTAAATCGGCCGCCAAAAATGCCTTCACAGTGACTGAAACGTCTTCAGGATTTTGGCTATCGGGTACGGCGGTAGACACAACTTGATCTACTAGCTGACGCTTATACATATTATCAGGTTGGAGAACCTGCGCCCACAAATCCAATTCGCGTCGTTTAACCAAGTATCGGGCTTGATGCTTGAACATAGAATTTTCGTTAGTGAGGCGAATCAAGTCCTCGTCACAGAATCCTTTGGCATATGCGATATACGCTAGAGTTGGATCCCGTTTTTCACAGTATCGACCGACAACCAAAGGATCATAGATGTTGTTTTCTTTGAGGAATGCTTCGGGATTGTTGTTGCTGTCGATCAAGATCTTCGCCATAGCGTTGTAAATGGCAGCGTCTTGTTGACCCATAGCAATTCTGGATTCAAGCCATGGTAAGATCAGCTTCAATCGGTTCCTCTTTTCGACCTCCTCAACGAGCTCATCGACAGGAATCGGTCCGTTAACTGATGCCAATAAGTTCTTGATCATCATCTCGTCTGCATCGACATCTAGCAATCCACCCACAACTTGAGGAGCCCTTTGCGAGTTGACCTTTTGAACGTATACTTCGATAAAGTTGGTAAGGCCGTTTTGGTAAAGGTACAAAACTAAATCGTGAACAAAATCGTATCGATCGCAAACAATAATTAAAGGAAGCTGATCGGAGAGTTTTGCTTCCTTCAAGAAATTCTTGACTTTTTCAGGTTGGTAGTAATTTGATTCTCGACAGATTCTTTCCACCTCACGGATCTGACCAGTTCTGGTAGCAGCTTGAATATACTTGAAATGAACTTCGGGGTCGGTGCTAAGGTTTACAATCGAGCCGAGGTAATAGTATAAACCTTCGAAGGTTTTATAGGATTCGAACATTTCTATCAGGCGAACCGGTCCTACTAAATCAGAGTATTTCGTTGCTGCTTGGACCACGATCTGGAGATTCTGTCGTATGTTGACCTTCAGCATCTCGTTGAAACAGTCGACAGTCTGATCTACTGTCAATTTGCCAAAGTAATTAACTAGCCAGTCCGCGTTCAGAAGGTTAGTGTGAACCAATACTCGTTTGATGTCCCCGATATCTTCATAATGCTCCAAAGCCTTCAAAAGAAAATGAGTTAGTGGTGACTTCATATAACGCTTGGCAGACAAGGTGTCGTGATCTTACCCGTTGTAATAGCCCAGCCTTTTCACACAAGTTGGCAATGCTGGGACGATCATAATGACTAAACATCTCATTACCCAGTATGGCGTCGGCAACTTGAGGGGCGTTCAATAGATTCATCTCGAGCAATCTCGTTTGTAAATGGCCTTGTTCGGGTTTGTTCTCCTTCAAGGCGTCCAACAAAAAGCTCGTAGCCTGTTGTAGCATATTTTGACCCATGAATATGTCTATCACTCGCTCCACATCGACCAAGGGACCAGTTTCATCATTAACAAGTGAAGTAGCAAATTCCGATCCTTGATCCGGATTGAGACGAGTGATATGCTGTAATAATGAAGCATAATCGGGTTGAAACCCGACTCGTTTGGCGTAAACGACGATCTTATTGAATTGGCCGGTTTCGGCGAAACATGCACAAACCTAAAAGGACAAAAGTATTTTAGATAACGCATTAAAGATCATGGCAATCATGGGCGTGACTTACTTTATTGGGGACGTTAGCTCTCAAATACACACTGAGAGCAAGGTTCATGTCATGCGCGCGAACAATGTCACCTAATTCTTCTCCACAATCCAACTTGTCCTCCTTGAGCCACTTTTCGAGAAGCTGTTTCCGACCTTGTACCAAAACCGGTCTAGCAAGTTCTAAACTTTCGTACTTGTTCAATCTTCCTCTTTCCAATAAGATACCGAAATATTGTAGAATAGGACTCAATTGGCCAGGTTGGACGGGCACGTTCTTGAATTGATCGATGGTTTGTGGTGTTCTTAAAATTCCACGAGGAGAATTGGCTGCAATTTTGGCAGCTTCTGAGAATTGTCCGGTAGAGAAGAGTTGTTGGAACTGCTGGATGTAGATGTCATCAGCTCCGGGTAGATCGGCCCTTGATGCCAGTTTGATGGCCAGCTCGGGGTTGTTGAGAGTTTGGAGGATGAATGGAACGATGGTGTCTTCATCGACGGTAACCGAAATGACCTGTCCTTTACGATTTACACCAATAATACCCGAACTAGACTCGTGTTCGGCTGTGACAAAGATAGTTTCACCAGATATCCGGTTCATATACAGACAGGCGGCGGTCTCGAGGTCGTAAAGATGAAGGAAACCATATTTGGTAGCCATATAGAGGATTTTGTGTCGTTTTGAAAGCTGCATGGCCACCGGAAAGTCGTTCGGAGCCTCGGCAGGGAAAAAGACATCAACTGCCTTCTTAGCGAATACAGGTTGACCAGCTTGGTGGTCAATCTCAACAATGTGCAGCTATAATTCCGGAAAAGACAGTCAGAATCCTCGAATAGTGACCAGGATAGAGGCGAGAGAAGTAAGAAACACTTGCCTTAGCCCCTGCAGCTGTCCGGACAGCAAAAGCAAACAGCTTGCTATCCATGGTAGCACCATCCAATCTAAGATCGGCGAAACAGGCCGCATGTCCTTCGATCGATTGACTAACCCCGCGATCCTTGTTGTATAGTTGCATGCTTCCTTTGACTTTGAAGGCAGCAGGATTACTTGGATTACCACTGATACCGATCAGTACTAGCCATTTTTCGTCAGAAGATGCCCGATAATTGATGATCTGATGACCGGACAATGTTGCGTTGCGATCGAAGACTTTTACTGGAGCAGTTGTAGCATCCAGAGCTGGCCAATGATAAACAGAAGTCTCCGTGACGATACCCAGAGTTGTATCGTTGATCCACTTCCAGAATGTCACGTCTTCATGCATGACATGTGATTTGACTTTCGCCTTGAGTTCAATATTAAAGACTTGCAACGAACGTTGAGCTAATACAATTACAAGCAGATGTTTCGTAATCAGTTGATCGACTCGTTGGCTAGACACATTGAAAAGAGATACACTTACCTCTAAGAGCGATAATTTTTTGGACTGGATGCATTATAGCACTCTCTGCACTAATAGGTCTTCTAATCACATTATTGGCATCGGCTAGATCGATGATGATAACCCTGTTCAACGTGAAAAGTGGCGTAAATGAGATGAACCAAAAGTATGATTTTCTACTTATCTGCTCACTGTTTAGCGCCATTGACTTCTTCTCGTACACACACGTAGCGTTCAGATTCCATGGTGAGTGTGTTGAAGCCAATGGAGGCTATAATATGTCGATTTTGAGATCTATAGTCAGTATGGTACTTTGTAATTGACAAAGTCAATGAAGTGATCGACTCACCGGGTTGGACACCCAAGGCTGTAAGCTGATAAAGGTGATCGAGATAATATGTTAGTCTTGATTGAAGATATTAGATATATAGAAGTGAGATCATTCCTACCTGAACATGTTCACAAAACGCTATTGGTCGTAATTCTGACATGACGAATGAGACTAGGCTCAAGAGAGGGCCAAGGGTTTTGGATTAAGACCAGAGTGATAGATCAGATGATGATGATCGAGAGATAGAGATATAATAAAGTAAATATGTTTGTTTAATGTTATAGTCTGTTATAGTTGATTAGTTGATTTGTGGTAGTCGCTGCTGAGTGGATTGATTGTTGAGATCGAAATGTGTCAGACTCATACCCTCAGTCTGGAGTTTGGACTCGATCAACTACCATGGATGTCACAATCTGAGAAACTTCATCACCTACATACATACACATGTGTCATTCAAGATTTCAGCCAGTAACATGCCCTGCTTCGTGACATGTAATCCGTAGGCTCAGCCTTCCACTTGAAAGCTGAGCGTGTTCCGTTTGGACAAATCCTCATGAGGATCAGAATCGACATTTGGTTAATGCTGGATGATGCGCTTGATCAATGCCACCGTGATTCAAGTTGTATAAAGTTTTCACATACACCTCCCTGAATCCTACTCAATGAGACAAAGCAAAAGATTATGTAGAGCCAATACCTCATAGCTTCCGTCAATCACCCGCAAGCCGGAGTCTTTTCACGGAGATAGACCCAATGCTGAAGGCTTCCTAGTATTACATTCAACTCCCACAGCAACAAGTAAGCTTTTTGAAAAGAAGAATTGATTGACATGGTGTACAGTCACCAAGTGTTTTAACGTGGCATGGCATGGTCAAGATCTTCTATGGTAGTATTCATCAAAGCCACCATATCTACTTGAATGCAATATGGACATTCAATAATCTTTTTGAATCAATATCACGTCGCATTAATGCTCATTCCTTAATCATGTTTGGCTCTCCTCTCAACTCACTGTGCTGCGTCCAAAGCTGATGAATTGAGGAAATAACTGGATATTTAAACATCTATAAACAAAATCTCTTTCAAGCTCCCTATATACTTGATAAAAATCGATTAAAAGACTTCAATTGCGAATCCAAAAAAATCCTTCAAGCATAAATACAAAGACTTAATTCAAGATCAAGTATCTGATAAGAGACAGTTAATAAAATAATCCAATTCAAGTCATATGTATTTCAAAACCTCAATGGTTGACCTTGATGAAGTTTCGAATTAACTTTTCGACTCAATAAAATGATTCCTAAAATATCAATATTTGCTGTTGTGAAAGCTTTGATATGAAGGAAATCCAAAATACAATTCACATCCAATTTCAAATTTAAACCCATACTAACTAGAACTTGAAATGAATTACTAAATCCTGTAGAAACACCTTTACAATGATCAGTCAAAAAAGTGAAAGAAAATCAGTGTTGAATTTTTGTTTTGAAGATGTTTGTATTGTAACTGAATAGATGTAAAACGAAAGATTCACTCACTTGAGATTTTATCAACAAATTCTCCAGGCCATTTTTCTTCAAACAAATCTAAGATTTGTTCAAGTTCAGAAAAGATTTTGATATAAATTTTCTGTAACTTTATCTACGTATTATTAAAAAAGAAAACTGCAAAAGTCAGAGATGATAAGTCTTTCAAAAATCGAATACAAACCGTCCACAAACCAATTCATCACGAGTAGGTTTATCAGGTCCATCACAAGTAGGTCCGAATTTATTAACAACATTAGAAAACTTATTTTCAACATCCGATAAACTTTTCACAGCATCATCAAGTTTGATATCTTTCGAAATAGCTTCACGAGAAGCACATAACTCTGGTATGAATGCTTCGTATTCCTTTGAGATGATAGCTACAGTTTCAACCGGTGGTGGCGTTTGTGACCAAAATGGTGCTAAGGGTGGTAAAGGACGTGAGTATTGTAAATTCTCTGTGATCTTGTCTCGCTTTGGAAAAGTTTTTAAAGCTTCTTCAATTGATCGAGCGTGTAATGAATGTGATACCGCTTCGTATCTGAAAAAAAGAACAAATGGTCAGACAAGAGTGATGAAAGTAATCCCCTGGAGAACTTACCTGGAACTGGATCCTATGACAATGGTGGCCCCTTTAAAAGAATAAAACATAAATGATCGTTTCCAGATACATAGGAAAGAACGAGAACCAGGTACATACACCCAAAGAGGCTCAGCAAGATTATTGTTCGTCTCCCGTTCATTTTGATATGTGATTGAGACCTCAGTTGATGGTGCCCGTCGGGAATGATGATGAAAATTGAAACACGATGAAAAAGAGTGTGATTATAAGTTTGCGAGGGATATATGATACGGATGAAGAGTCCAGAGTCCAGAGTCAAGAGAAAAAGTAAAGAACAAGACCATTTTCAAACTTCAGACTCAAGGTCAGTGTTGGGCTGTGTGGGTGTCAAGTTAAAATTCAAATGTCAGCGTGAGAGAAGAAGTCACGACTTGAACTGATTTGAATCATTTCAACTTTTTCTTTTCTCGCATCCATCAAGTATAAATTCACTTGAAATGCGAAAATCGTCAAAGACCAGGATGAAAAATGAACCCGTTTGCTCCCTATTGTAGCAGATTCCTATCTGGAGCAAAGATAGAATGTGTGCGCTGACCTCTTGCGCAGATTTTACACATTTTTGCTTGAGGAAGTTGATTGCCACTTGCATCAAAAGGCACTCTTCGAACTTGAGAACACGTAAAACCCAGATCTTTGAGACAGCTCTTGAGCAAGAAGCGGTCAACTTCCTTGGGGAAAAATAGTGTACACTATGTGCAAGAGGAGTGCACACATCTTGAAGATTACCATTTGCACCTTTTGCACTTTGGGTACATGGAAAAGAGTCCATGGTGATCCATGGGAAAGTGATCAAACCACTAGAGTACTGGACAATGTGAATAGAGCAGACCACAATAAGGGGTTGGTCCAAGTTCTGAATCTTTGACCTCACTGTCACATAATCAGGCTCAAACTCATTTCTATACATCAGTTGACTCTTTTGCATCAGTTATCATCATGATTGGAAAAACAAAATAAAATCTCAAAGAATAGAAAAATCCACACAATTCCATACATAGGATCATTCATTCAATCCCAAACCAACCAATGTATCTGTATCAGTGTTCAGGCTTTTAAATCACATGAATTCAAAGCTAAATTTACAGTGAGTAATCCTATCAAGAGACAGCATTCAAAAAATCCACTACTTTCATGCCCTTCACTTAGCATTGTTTGGTGCAAACCTTCCACAAAAAAAGAAGTGCCTAAAGAAAGTCATAGGGTTGAAAAAAAACAAGGCAATTGAAACATAACATTCAACCCTTGTATGATTTACCATTGGAAATACTAGAAGTTAGGTGCCCAGCCATCACATCATCATTGTCCTATGCAATATCAGCCAAATATTACCCCTTGTCAGTCTGTAGGCACACCGAAGTATTGTCAATAAAAGTATCCAGACCCCAATATTTTTATATGAATATTTATTACTTGCAACTTATTGTTCTGCAAGGCAATGGTATGACCTCATGTTCACCCTGGCTTCACAATTTGAACCAAGATCCAATGAATTACAGCTGTGTACCACATCTATCTCAATTTCAATGATTATAGAGGAGAAGCTTATCACACTGCAATCAAACATTGTTGATTGTGGCCTTTTGGTATCAAATTTAGCCCTCAAGATGTGAATTTCACTGCCTCAGCCAATACTTGGGAGGCTATAGGTGGCAATTATGTGTTTGGGCTTGTTGCCAGTTTGACTTCCCCCCTTTGGTTGTGAGGACTAAATGAAGCTACGGTACCCTGTGTTTCTGATATCCTGTTTTAATTCTGGGTAATGGGACTGATACTTTATCATTTATTATACTGTCTTCATTACTATTCCTGTTTTGCCCAGTCATGTCATCATTGCTACGGGTGATCACCACTACATTGCTGACTACCACAGCTTGAATGGCAAACTCCTTTGTCATATCACTTATACTGGTCAAGTGCAGTCAACCCAGACTGGAATTGATGATGCTTATGTTCAAAGAGTGCATCAGTGATTGGAAACTTGTTTCAGTGATTACATGATAATGTCTGACCTTTTTCTTTCAAATCCTTTGGAGTCAATTATCTGTATTATACACCAAAATTTGTGCCTCACAGAATGATAACAAATATTTGTGTTGGCTTGAAAATCTATCTGAAATCATGAGGTCTCCAATTGTATCACAAACCTACTTGCCTTCTGTAATAACCTGCTATGTAACACCTGTGTGGTATACCAATATGCTAATACTGGGGGACCAAAGTTGTCAGGATTGACTGCTCACCAGTTCTGATGTCCTTCTTCATTGCAATCTCAATATCAGGCCTGGGGTATCATTCATTGTATTCACTGAAAGTTAGCTCATAACACCTTCAGATCATTATTGTCTTTGATATATCAATGCACATGGTAGAGATCTATGGAGCTACTCTTTATCTTGCCACTGGAAAACACTTTGTAGATGTTGCACCTTCCCCTTGCGCAATGAAGTCCACTACAATCACTACTTAGTCTGACAACTGCTGTGTTCTGAGTACATTCATCTCAGGATCATAGACATGTCACTATTTTCAAACCAGCTTTCTTCTTGTTGTTTTACCGTTTCTGATCATTTTCTGTAGCAGACAATTTTGAAATTCATCTGACTGCCAAATTTCCATGAAGGAATTTGAATCTGGGTGATTGTGCTACTAAACGTTCCATGGAAAGTATGTCATTGTTGTTGTTTTAGTAGATTCTTAATGCAAATGATGCTATTTAAATGGGTATCTATTCAGTTTCAGTAGCTAGAAAAGGACGAGTAAGGCTGTTTATAGCTTTGGACTTGAACTTGTTACAATGACCAGTGATTCATTACAGATGAAAAACCTTTACAAAAATGAGAACAGATTAAAAAGGGATGATATTCTTGGAGGTAATAAGATAAAAGGAAACTAATGGGAATTCATTGGCTAGAATTGAGCTTGCCAAGGTCAATATCTCCATATATCTGTCCATTTTCATCCCTTGTGTATTGATGTATTCATGTGAGTGTATCTGAACACTATAATTGTGATTTGGTCAAAAGTTAAAACAAAGAGTATGAATGAATGAAATGGTAAAGTTACATACCTAGTTAGCTCTTGCTGTTCAGGTTTTGCTCTTGCTTGACCCACTGCACCCTCATTTAAGTTTATTCTAGCTTGGGCTAAGCCTGAATTGTTATCCGGTGCCTAAGATAAATGTGGTTGACAGGAAGGAAAGGGGTCAAGTATGATGGACAAGTTAAAAATCATGATGTCTCTGAATTGACTCATTGAGCAGATAAATTTTGATTAAAGATATTGGGGTTGATGTTGATGAGTTGTTTGGGTTGATCTGTTGAGTTTTATTTGAATTACTTGGCTGCTTGTTTTCCTGAGGCATTGGAAAGACTCATTAAGTCTTGTTCCTTTGTCTATGTGTAGACATTTGTGACTCAAAAGCCACATGACTGGAAGACAGTTGTAAATGGTATAGTGAGGGAACTCTCCAGGGGCACTGGCAAATCAACCAACTTGCTTGCCAAGGTTACAACAGTTGTGTACAGTCAAACCCGCGCAAACGCATAATTTGGGTGGAAGACTTTTGCTATGCATTTTGACGGGTTATGCATTTCTGTTGTCAAATTTGGCAGTAAAAAGCATCAAGATTCTAGATTTTTTCTATGCATTATCACGGGTTATGCACCTGCGCGGGTATGCATTTGCGCGGGTTTGACTGTATGCAGTATGGAATTCTTAAACTGCAATTCGGTTGTTGATTTGAAATTTGATTGCTTTCATACAGCTGCAATACAGCTTGGAATATAAGCATATACATACTACAATCAAGATATAAAATTTGGTTTCCTATTGACTGCCAGTCAATAGGCTTGTTTACCACCACCACTATACCCTTGATCCACCTCTATTGCTTCACCAACATGAGGACCATCAAAACATCAAGTCCAACTGGACAAGGAAGCCAAGGCATTACAAGATGTGTACATTTTGTATTCTTATATATATTTTCTTGTTGATATCCTTTCTGCTCCAGGTTCTTTCTGTTTCTCAACAATACTCACCAACTTTGTTCTTCTTAGTGCCAACAAAAGGGAAATACATAATCCTATTGAAGGGCTTAGCCTTGATCACGGCAGGGGTGGCAGACCTTCTTATACCAACAAGTAAGCTCTCATTTTCTGTTCTTCAATTCAAATCATTAAGTGATTGCTGGTCACCTTTTGATATTCCCTTTTAGACCAAGTTGCCAATGGGATTCAGAAGATGTTAGAATTGGCGGGCAATGCCAGTACCTCGATTTGGAGTTGAATCATCTGGATCCTTTTAAATACCAAGATTTTTGTGAGTTCTGTTGTGAATTTCACCCTGATTTCAATCCTGACATCAAAATCATTTGTGGTGAATTTTTCTTTCCTCTCTTGACAATTTTCACTGAAACTCAACCTTTTGTTCCATTTGATTAAAGTTTTCCCGTCTTTGCAGCCAAGATTCTTCACTGCCAGGAACATGAAAAGTTGATAAGATTCACTACACAAAATGTAATCTTTACCGAGCAGTAAAGAAAACTACTGACATAGAACAATCCTGACACAACAGGAAGAGAGCTAAAAATCTAAAAAAATATGCACCTTGTTCCTAGATGTTGGGGCGTCATTATGAGTATTTTCTTGTATTTTACACACAGATATTGGTTAATGTACTAACAATAAAGGCTAAAGATCATCAACAACCCACCTGTAACAATACCTGAAATTTGGGTCATGATTATGAAGACAATATTTTGTGGTCTAAAAACTTCAATAACTTTTGCAATTCTGCTCCAAATGACTTGATTTTTGGTTCATTCAAAAGCTGAACCATTCTCCTTTACACTTCATAGAGGTAGTAAGGTGTTATCTAGTCATGTAAACACTCTACATATGTTCAAACATTTCTCAATAAATAGCTCTGTAGGATCTTTTGCAGACCAGCTACAGATGTGATGCCTCAATGACAAATGTAAAGGAAAGACCCACCTTTTTGATGAACTAAAAATTGAGTGATTTAATTCAGAACTGCAAAAGTTATTGATGTTTGAAGATTTCAAAATCCTGTCTTCAAAATCATGGGCCAAATTTCAGGTATTGTTACAGGTGGGTTTTTGATGTGTCTCAGCCTTTATTGTTAGTACATTAACTAATATCTGTCTGTAAAATACAAAAAAATACTCATCATGACGCCCCAACATCGAGGAACAAGGTCCATATTTTTTCAGATTTTAGCTCTCTTCCTGTTGCCTCAGGAGTTTTCTATGGCAGTAGTTTTCTTTACCACCCGGTAAAGATTACATTTTGTGTAGTGATTGTACCTTGGTCCAAAGACCTTTGATTCATTTACCATAACAATAACTAAGAAGATTGAAAAAAACAGAGAACAGGACTATCTTTG